CCCCCTGAGGCTGTGGGAGCTCGGAGGCTATGAACAAACTGGCCAGGCTCCAATTGGGAAAGATGTGAAACCACAACATATTTCAGCGCCCCCCACCCTGCCCCCGCCCCAGGGCCAGGCTGTGTGAGTGGGATCTCCCTGACAGACAGCCAGCCATCAGGACGCCCGTTACACACACAATCCAGCATCAGACAGCCAGGGAAGACACCATTTCCCCCAATTCCAACACTCAATGTGCTTCAGGCACAACCCACTCCCCTGTTGGTGCTACAGAAATGCAATCCATTCTGCTCAGAAGCAGGAACTGATTTACTGACTTACTCATTGAACCACTGTACGTAAATCTCTGAGTCACTGTCTGGGGCTGGACCTCAGCAGGACAGCACAAGGTTAGATACAGGGTAAAGCTTCCTCTACACTGTCCCCCATCAAACACTCCCAGGACAGGGACAGTACGGGGTTAGATACAGAGTAAAGCTTCCTCTACACTGTCCCCCATCAAACACTCCCAGGACAGGGACAGTACGGAGTTAGATACAGAGTAAAGCTCCCTCTACACCGTCCCCCTATCAAACACTCCCAGGACAGGGACAGCACGGGGTTAGATACAGAGTAAAGCTCCCTCTACGTGGTGTATTGATCCATTAGGGGGTATTGAGTGCCTGTTGGTGTTTGATGGGGAAATTGGTGAATTTCTCTGAAGCAGGAGTATAGAGTCAGCCGCGTTTCCCTTCAGTGAGGAATGAGAGCACAGCAGTCTGATGGGCGGATTGGATTAAAGGGTTTTATTGAAGGTAAATGAGCTGCCCTGTTGATTTTTGCCCCTGGCTATGAGGCTGTTGGAACCAGCTGGTGAGAGAGCAGTAGGGAGAGTTGGACTGGACGAGGGGAGAGTGGGTTAGGATTTAGGGTGAGGGTTGGGGATTGAGGGGGGAGGGATTGGGATCGGGGTTATGGGTGAGTCTCCAGTGTTCCCCACGTCTCTCTCGCTGCCTCTGCCTGCTTCCTCAGCAGCGGCGGCTGGTCAGTTTGGTCAGAACCTGGTGTTGCTGTGATTTATAAACCAAGAAAAAACTGTCTGGCAGAATGCGACCACGACCCAACCGATCCACTGGACCCATCAGCGTGTAGCTGGCACCTGGGGGGGAACAGAAACACAGTCAATGCCTCCCCCCAACAGGGAGGGCAACATTTCACAGGGTCCAAATCCTGGTATCGGTCAGTGTGTGTGTGAGAGAGAGTAACGGTCAGTGTGTGTGAGAGAGAGAGAGAGAGTAACGGTCAGTGTGTGAGAGAGACAGTAATGGTCAGTGTATGAGAGAGAGAGAGTGTAATGTTCAGTGTGTGTGTGTGTGTGTGTGTGTGTGTGTGTGTGTGAGAGAGAGAGAGTAACAGTCAGTGTGTGTGAGAGAGAGTAACGGTCGGTGTGAGAGACAGAGAGTATAACGGTCAGTGTATAGATGAGACAGAGTAATGGTCCCTGTGTGAGAGGGAGAGACACTGTGTGTAAGACAGAGAGGGTAATGGTCAGTGAATGTGTGAGTGTGGGTATGAGTTACAGTCAGTGTGTGAGTAACGGTCAGTGTGTGTGTGAGTAACGGTCAGTGTGTGTGAGAGTAACGGTCAGTGTGTGTGACAGTAACAGTCAATGAGTGAGAGAGTAACTATCAGTGAGAGAGAGTAACAGTCAGTGTGTGTGTGAGTGACGGTCAGTGTGTGTGTGAGTGACGGTCAGTGTGTGTG